CACTGACCCCGGGACCAGGACCCACAGTGTGCGGATGGCCCTCGTGGTGGAGCCGCCGTCCTGGCGGAGTGGCCTGGCCCCGGGAGCAGTCACCGCAGGGAGGATCCGTGTCCACTTCCGGGAACCAGCCAGGGAAGGGCTCTCCCGCAACGAGGCCGCCCCACGCTGGGACAAGGGGGCTGTGGGGGAGACGTCCACCGTTCTCCTGCCGTGTCCCTGCAGCGCGTGTCCCGGGCAGCTCGGAGCTGCTCTCTGGGGAGTGAGGACGGGCCCGTCAGCGGGGAGAGAAAGTCGGAGAGAGGAGGCAGGAATGGGGTCCGGATCTGCCTCCAGGGAGGGAAACGGAGGGGCTGGGGGACCCTGCTTGTCCCTGGGGAGCCCCCTGACCTCCCATACGGGGTCTGACCTCTGACATGGGTGTCCTTTTAGGATAAGAAGGAAGAAAGACCTACCATTGTCCTAGGACTGACCCTCAAAGGAATGCAGGTCTATGAGGTGAGGGGTGGAGCCCCCAGAGCCCCCCCCCTCCCCAGGGCTGGTGCCCCGTCGCTGGCTGACCCGGCCCCTGTGCCCTGCAGGAGGTGAACCACACTCTGCAGCTGCTGCACGACCTAAAAAAAGCGGTGCCCAGCCTGGCGCTGTGCAGCGGGCGTGGAGACCACCCCACCCTGGGCGGCTGTCCCGCTGGCCCCCGACAGCTCTGGCTCCCAAAGGGGTGAAATAAAGAGAACAAGGAGGAGGCAGAGACGCATGGCGGGCCAGCCGGCTTCCAGACACCCCACCTACGTCCCAGCCCCACAGGCCCCGGGCCCAGCACTCGGGGCCACGAGCAGGGTGGGCTCTGATGCCTGGGGTCCGTCCAGGGACGTGCACACCACCCCCCGCTAAGGGGAGTGTCTGGACTTTAAATAACCTCAAGCGGGCACCCCGCTTGCCTGTGCCCCTAAACACACACCTGCCTGTGGGATTAGATGCGCCAACAGGAACCGCGGCCGCCGCCCAGGGTGGGTCTGGCCGCCGGCTCACACGCTGCCCCTGTCGTCCTGGTCCTTGTCGATCCACCTTCTCCTCCTCCAGGGGAAGAAGTTTAAGATCCAGCTGGACGGGCGGCCCGCGGCCCGCAAGCTGG